TCCCTACGAGCGGCTGCTTCTGGGGTGTGTGTCTCTGGAGGGGAGATGGAGGGGCCTAAACTTCGAAATATCTGCTTTGCATGGATGGCTGTAATTTACCAGTGGAAATGGAAGATCAAAGTGTTAACACCCAGCCTCCTGTTCTGTGCCGGCCGTCAGGCTGAACCGGCTGCCGGCCAACGTGCGGCCCCAGTGAACAAACCACTTATTCACATTTCTTCTGATCTCGGCTCCTGACACCGACCACGGGGTTTCTAAGTTATGGCTTCAGTCCACACTTAGCAACCAGGAGTCACAATGCAGCTTTCTTTTTGGTCCACCAAATCATCCAAGAACTGGGCAGGGGTGGGGAGGGAGGGCAGCGCTCACTCTCCTTCCCGTTCTCTAATGAATGCTGCTGTAGGAGAGGAAGCCAACCCAAGCAGTGTAAGAACAGTATTTTTTCCTGCCCCAGAAACTGATCCGTGAACCCCCAAGCCCTCGTTCCCATGTTGTCCAGGAGACAAAAGAAACTCTCCAGAGATAAAACGCTCCCCGAAAGGAGAAGGGGGTGGGGGGCGACTGCTGGGATTGGCTCCCACAGTTCCACCCATGCCAGGTAGGAGACCTGGCCCACGGTCACACACAGGACATGTCGCTTCTTTTCGGTGTCATCAATAGTGTTAAACTGTGACAGCTTGGCTCCTGGGCCAGATGGAGGAGCAGCAAACAACGCCCCCTCCCTGGCAGCAGCCACGTGCTGCTGCCGCCCACCGGTAAAAGCCTGGCAGTGGGGGGAGGCCGTCCTCCACCAGCCTGGGCTTTACAAAGGGCTGAGAGTGAAGACTGCTCCCCACAGTGGCTGGCAGCCCCCTCACCTTGCTTGGGGCCTGGCAGAGGCAGGAGGCCAGGCCCAAGGAGCCCTCCTGCTGAGGGCACAGGCAAGGTAGCTTGCGTGGAGTCACAGGGACAAAGCCCCTGCCGTTCTTTTCCAGGGTTTGGGTTTAAAGAAGGGATCAGAGTGGCAGCAACCACAAGGGGCCATTGTGCCGGGAGCCACGGGAGGGCAGCTGCTAGCGATTGACTTCTTTATCTGGCCGGGACTCTGCAGATCTCAGCACAGGCAGTGGCTCAAGGCGGCAGGCAGGCAGCAGGCAGCAGGCAGCGGGCTCCACGCTGGGCATACAAAGGAGGATTGTCTTAAAGGAGCAGTGGCCCCTTGCTCCACCAGGGGGCTGTACAGAAGCACATGGTGGACTCCTGTCTACTCTCTGTCAGCAAAGGCCAGCCTGGCAGAGCCCAGTGACCAGCTCCTCAGTTACACAGTGGCGGCAGTTCTGCAGACAGCTTCCGCTTAGCAGTCACCAAAGTGACCTGTGCAGCTAGATCCCGTGGGCAAGATGGGACAGAGCTGCAGGAGTCCTTTCAGGCCACAGCCTGCCTTTGCCACCAGCCCCCAGAACCCCAGTGGAGCAGGCCTTCTACCCCAACTCCAGCCCCTAGTCCTTCACCACCTTGAGGGGCCAATGGGGTCCAGACTGAAGGTGGCATCGCAGGCAGTGTGCACACAGTGAAAGAGAAGTGCAGCCTGGGCTCACTGTGTGGGCCAGGATAGGCTGCTCTCATGAAGAAGTCAGCCCAAAGCCTGCAGACAGATGCCTGGGTGGGCAGGGCCCTGCAGCACCTGCTGCTGTGCACCTGGGGGTCCAACTATCTAACCCTGTCAGAGTAGCCTGGGGAGCTAAACCGCTTGTCTCTCAGGTCAGCCGAAACACCCTGACCTTCTAGAAAGAGAGCTGGCCTGTGCAGCACCTCTCCAGGTCTCAGATCTGTCGCTGTGCCACGGGGGTAATGTGAAATGGGGTACAAGTGCCCAACAAACCCCAGCTTCCTGCCTTCTTCTTCAAATGGGATTCATCTTCCCCTATGTGTTATCATTGGTTCATCCCGTTCCCTGATGGCAGAAGGTGGTCCCTGCAGTAGGGACAGATGCCCACAGGTGGTATCTAGAGAGGTGGACAATATTAGGAGCTTCAGCTAGCACTGGACTGTTAATGGCAAGGTTGGTGGTTCAACCCCACCAGCTGTTCCTCAGAAGAATCAAGAGGCTGCCCGCTCCTGTGAACCTCAGAAATCTGTGAGGAAGGAGCTCAATGGCAGTGGATGTAAGGAGGGGACAGGATGCTGTGTGGACCCACAGCAGGGGTGCCAAACCTGACCACGGAGGGACTGCCAACTCTGGATTCTGGGACACATGGCTGGGGTCCAGGCCAGCTCATGGTGACCCTGGATGCCATCATCAACAATGACAAGTGCTCTCTGAACAGGGCGGGTTTTGGCTTTTAGTGGGTCAATGGCGTCTAGTATGGGGGATACAAATAGCCTACATGACAGGAAATCTGGTCACTTAAAATGCAGGATGAGAACAGAAGACCCTGGGGGACCATAAGGACGATGGCCAGGCTGTGAAGAGTATCAGTAGGGTCAGGAGATAACTTGGGCAGAATAGCTGTGTAAGGCACAGGTTCCCAAACAGATTTGGCCTACCATCCACTTTCAGAACAACAAATCACTCAGTGCCCCTCTGGCACTTAAAAACATCGGCCCCCTGCATCATTCCAGCGCCCAAGCAGCGGGCAATATTGCCTGCTTTGGGAACCACTGGTCTAACACTTGCTGGAAATACAGGTAAATTCTAAGAAAACCACAGTAAAGAAGGGCTCTGGTAGTGTTGTCATTATCCACTGGCCTGCAATCTTCAAGGTCAGCAGTTCAAAACCAACAGCCAGTGGGAGAAAAACCAGGCTTTTTACTCTTGTAAAGAGTTATAGTCTAAGAAACTCATGGGGCAGTTCTCTCTAACCTACAGTATTGCTGAGTCAAAATCGACTCAATGGCAGTGAGTTCGGTTTTGCAGGTAAATAAGAAGCATCTGTGGATTACAGGTAGGGCCACAGATGGAGTGGGGGGTGGGGGTATGGTGGGAGGTGTCAAGGATTCCAAGAGACAACGACTGGGGAAGGGGCTGACTTGAGACACTCACTCCTCCCTTTTCTTGCTCTCACTGAGAGGATACATTTCCATCCCTGCCAACGTTAGGTTTACAGGGGTCAGACCTCTCAGACAGGGAGGGTGACAAGAATGAATCTAAAACCCAGGTAAAGGGCAACAGAGGAGAAACTGAGGCCGACCACCAGCTGGAACCCGTGCAGGGTGGGGTCCTGTCTACCAAGAACATGGGCAACAGGAAGCTGCTGGGACTCACCCACCCAGTCACTGCTCAAGAGAGTCAGCCTGTGACGAGTCAACTCCCCATCATTTCTTCTAGCACTTGCACCAAGAGCCCACGGCTAGTGTGTTAGCCCAGCCCCATTCCCAGAAGTGAGGATGGGGCCTGTCCTGGGTGCCACAGAGTAACAGGCCCGTCCACCTGTTAACATGCAGCCTGACAGCTTTTCACATGGCTGACACACACGGCCTGGGCCAGAATTCAATGAACATGCAGCCAGCCTCCTCCCAACACACTGTCAATCCATGAACACTTGAGGCTCTTGTAGCCCCAAACCCACCTACTGGCTCTATGGGAGTACCTGGAAGATGTGAGGGACAGGTCTGCATTGTTCAGAAAGCGGCTGGTTCCTATTATTAAGCCCCTCGTTAACTCAAGAGGCAGCCAGGGACTGTAGGAGGAGGAAGCTCATGCCTCCGCCCCCACCAGTTTTGACCTTGAGCACATGGCCACCACCTCTGCCCACATCTGTCCCCAACCCCACCCCATCTCCGTGAAAGAATGGCTATTAGAAAGCTCTTGTCAAACAAGGGGATTTCTCATCCTGTCTTCCGGTCAGTGAACTTGGCTGCCAAGTAAGGGCTTGCTTGGTCCACCCAGCAGGGCCTGGGGTAGAAAGGCCTGGTGACTTACGCCTGAATTCCAGCACTGAGAACTCTACCTGGGTAGCTAGCTGTAAGCTGAGTCAACTGCATGACAACTGGTTTGGGTTTCTTTGGTGGTTTGTTTGTGGG